CCACATAAATATCCCAAACGCATGCCAGAAGTGAAAGAGGCGGCCAGGCTTGACTCGAATCGAATAAAAGCTGAGGAGTGGACCCCCTGCTGCTTTCCCATCACAGCAGAATTCACTCAGCCTTTGCGAAGCAGGGACATCCATGCCCTGCCATACATTGTCTCCGCATGCACTTGTGCTCCTTCGTGTATAGAGCCACCATTGAACAGCTTTAAGCAGCACTTGGGGAAAGAATGCAAAGTACCAAAAATATTGWGTGCGAGTGTATGTTATCGTTTATTTATGAGGTATTACGAACAGAAACTACCTGATCCAACTAAAAACCACAGTTTCACTTTGTTTATTGGTGCTATTTGTCTGGCTTGTTATTAACAATTGCAATATATTTAAATCAGTTGAAGTTAAAGGACATACATACCATTAAATGAGGGGGAAATAAAACTATTCAAATAAAATATGGATCAAAGTTTGTCCCGTTTTTTTGCAAATCTTTTCATCCAGGGAGTCTACCATATATTATAATTGTTTCTTCAGGACCAGCAGTCCATTTGTCATGTTTTTCAGTGGAAAGCACTCGAGTAGACTGATTAATTCTAACCAAGTGGTTAAAACTAGAGAGAAGGCAAATGGAAACAGGCTGCTGTCTCAATGATGGAACTCCTGGTTTACAGTAATAATGCCGCCATCCCAGAATTAATGGGCTATTGACTTATTGATGATAAAATGCAACACCTATTACATTTACTTAACAAGACAGGAGCAAAATTAGGTGCAGAAGAGGAGTTGGCTTTTCTGTTTGCATTCTTTTTGTTAGTGTGTATTTGTGTGTGTGTCGAGTGGAGCTGGGAGGGGGAGACAGCATCGCTGTCTAGAGTCTAAGTAGATGATGGACTGTAGCTCGTATTCCCATTCTCTCTCATTATCTTGCCCCCCTGAGAATATACGAGGTTACTTACCTTCCTTTGCTCCCTGCCTAACACCAAGCATCGGATCAGGGTCATTAGCCTCAGTACTTGGAACAAATGACTTCAGATAGCATCTTAGCTGCACTACAACAAGAGCAGATTAACCCCTTGATCTTTGTAGGATATGAAAATGTTACAAGGGGCACACTAGAACACGTTCCCTTTTTTTAGCCTTGTTTTATGTGTAACCA